TGAAAGAGAGAGAGAGATAGATAGATAGATAGATAGAGAGAGAGAGAGAGAGAGAGAGAGAGAGAGAGAGAGAGAGAGAGAGAGAGAGAGAGAGAGTGGGAGGTGAGGGTGGGTGGAGAGGTATGAGTATGATTTGTTGCATTAATGCTGGATATGTGTGTGTATTTGTGTATTTGTAATGCTGAACCAGTAAAGTATAGTTTTGCTTATATATATATTACAGTGCCAGGGACGCTTTGCGGTGTTGTCCAATATCTAAAATTTGTTTAGTGATCATTGATTAACTTCTTGCTTGCTACTCGTATACCAGTAGTTGTAGTGTTGAAAAGTGTAGTCCTGGTAAGGCTTGCATTACAAAGTGTATTTCATTGTTACGTTCATTCATGAACATAATCAGAAGGCCATCAGCACGTTTATTTATATGAAAATCCTATACAGAACAAGCATTTCTTTCGAAAGAATAGAGACAGCTTCAGCACTAACTACAGGAAATAATGTATTATTGGAAAAGACAACGTACCACTGCACAGTGCCATTAACGAATGCCTTTACAGTGAACCTCGGATCCATCGACATCGAACTCTTGGAAAAGAGAAGGAATGATTGGTCTCTTTTTCTCATTCATTTTAACAAATCATTCCATACGCATGAAACAGACATTCAAGTGACCTAGGACCTTACATAACAGTTTGTCCAGCGAGCCAGTCAGAGTCATAAATGTTTGTGCATTTTTTCACCATCAGCGTCTATTGAATAAACATCCCACAATCGGTCCACTGGGGGAGGGGAGGGGCATGACATGTGCAGACTGTAGATATTTTTTGCAACAGCTAGTAGATCTACAGTATGAGTATGACCTATCAGAAAAACTGTGTCACTTTTGGGTCCTCAATAAAAAGTCTTCAAATACGTACAAATATCCAAGCGTGCGTTCTAGATGCAGTCAATGTCCGGTTCTGATCCATGGTTGGGTAACATGGAGTACACATGAGTAAAAGAAAACACGCAGAAGGAAGGATGGGGGCTCTTGAGGGAAAGTGACCATGCCTTTCAATGTAAATTAAATAGCTTAATCTACAAGCAGCCCTAATTCAGGTGGGCGGGGGTGTTCATCATTCTGATCTCATCAATAAAGTATTATATTATATTCTTACTGTGCTTCTGAGCTAAACCTAACCAAATGTTGCTCTATAGCAACAGAGAGTGCTTTAGAGAAGGAGAGTAAAAAAGGAGACATGAGAGGATTGTATTTGACTCCGCCCCCTCTCCCTCTCTCCCTCTCCCTCTTCCTCTCTCTACCATTAACTTTTCTCTCTCTTCTTTGCCCCCCCCCTCCCCTCCCCCACTCCCTCCTCTCTCTCTCTCTCTCTCTCTCTCTCCTTCTCCCTCTCCCTCTCCCTCTCCCCCCCCCCTCTCTCTCTCTCTCTCTCTCTGTGTATGTGTACTTGTCGTTCTATATTATACATACATATTATTTACATTTTGAAAGATAGGTGTTTCACGCCTCCATTAACACAACTTGGGTCATTTAGAAGGCAAGCTCTCGATCCTGCTTGTCAGGGACAACCTAGGCTGATTAGGAAACAACATCCCAGAAGAAAGACGGAGATACTCTATAAAAATTCTCTATACCTTTGAATCAAACTTGGGTCTTGCGACGGAGAAGCGCATGACCGCTATGCCACTGACACTGATATGGTATACCAACAGTGGTAGTGGATCGTTATCTGAAGATTCTTGATCTATGCTGAAGATCATTGGGAAGATTACGGGGGATCTCAGGAGCGGAAACGACCGTGGTTCAAGCAAGAAGGAGCACACTGTAAGCTCTAGTTATCGAGTGGAACTAGAATCCCTTCAACAGAGGTCGTGGTATACCTTGTTCCTGAGCTTCACACAATCCCAACCTGAACCCCTTGGATTTCCAACTATGGGGCAGATGTGTGTCCAGACTTTTCCCAACCATTGTGAACTGAGGCAAAACGTGGAACACATTGCTCGACAAATAAAATTCTTCGAGAGCAGCGCCAGAGAGTAGTAAATCACGTTTCAACGCCGAGCAAGGGAGTGTGTCTCTCATGACTGTAGCCACATAAAGCGCATTCTTTGACTGCCCAGAACTTCTGTAACGATTAGTGGGACTCTCCTGTAACTTTGTCAGACTAAGTTAAAAAATGTTTGTCATTTTCCTAAATCATTTTACAGCGCCTTTGACGGATTTTAAAATGTGAGCATTTTGTTGGATTTCGTCAGAGTTGAGATACGTGACTAACACACACACATGTGCATGCGCGCGCACTCACGTATGTGTATTAGTGTGTGTGTGTGTGTGTGTGTGTGTGTGTGTGTGTGTGTGTGTTTGTTTGTTTGATTGTTGGTTTGTGTGTGCATGTGTGTGTGTGTGTGTGTGTGTGTGTGTGTGTGTGTGTGTGTGTGTGTGTTGGTGTAATCTCTGAGCGAGTTACTGAACTATTGTTCTGATTTGTAGGTGACTGGTCAAGGGTAGTAACTTAACACAAAATTACTGAAGGTAGTCATGTTCACCTGTCATTGAATGCTCACTAAGGGAGGAAATGAACATATCACCTGATTAATTCTATTTAATTTATCAGAGAGGGCCAACGTTTTAAAAATATTAATTTGACGTCTGTGTTGGATCTAATCCCATTTGGACGACTGCTGCCTTAGACTGGGCAAAGATGTCTCCAAACTTTGCTCGGTGGGTCTAGATGGAATTTTCATTTGATTACTTGTGACAGTCCTGTGAATATACTGGATGTCCTCCCTGTTGACAATTTGGGAACCGAGGAACTGACGAGCATGATTTCTCTGAGTAACCCTCTTTACCACAGTGAGGGCAAACAGCATCCCGAAGCATTTTAGTTTTGCATGTCCAAATCGCTGACAATCAAAGCAACACACCAGGTTATGTTTTTACGGTTAAAACTCGGTTTCTAAGTGTTCAAGCGACAGTTTTTTTCGGATGTCTTGGTCAATCAAAAGCTAATATTCAAGTCTTGGTGCAGACTTCTTTTCCATCTCGCCGCACTGTGGCACGACCATTCTTCCTCTGTACAGTAATGTACAGCCATCCAGGTTGCGGTTTATTGTAACACATCTGGAAGTACTGAAACTACTATGAGGCTCAATACCTACAGGGTTGCCCCCATACGACGTACATTTCCATAACAGGAGGAGTTCGTCACGTTGGTAGAATAAGTCAAGACCCCTGGCGGGAGCCTTCCTTCCGTTTTTGGGATGCCCCAGGTTCTTAAGGAGGGGGGGGGGGGGGCTGCACCACCATAGTCCCGATTAGGGCTCAAAATTATGGAATTTGAGTTGTAGGCATTTTTAGCTTCCTCAGCCTCTCCTACAACTATTTCATCGCATAAGAACCACTAAAAGACTTATTTCTTCCCATACCGGGCATGTTGGTCACCATAAAGTCAGTATTTTATTTCTCTTTATCGACTGTTTTCTCAGCGATTTCTCAATGCTTTTTTGAATAACTCGACCACTTTTCATCCAATCTTCATGAAACTTTCACCGAATGAAGAGAAGATGTAATACTAAAAGTTTGTAGGTTGAATTTTTGATATATGGAATAGATTCTTGTTGGTGGCGTCTAAGTGTAAATTTTTAGGGATTTTTTGTGAACTTGAAAACTACCTCAGTAAAAAAAATTGTCTAAAAATGTTCTAATTCGTTTACGAAAAAATCAACACACAGATCTTTAGATATAATGTTTGCTAACATGCATGCATAAAACCAATCAGTTTCCAAGCAAAATAAGTGCGGTATTCATAACGTAAGACATGTCAACAAAATGCAATTTGGCCGCCGTATCCATAGAAACGAAACTTTTTTTTCTCAAATTTGATTGCGGATTTTAAGACTCCATACTATGCTTGTTATATGTGTAAAATTTGGTAAAAATTGATTCAGTAATAAGCGAGATAGCCTTCAGGTGTAGCTCCACCCCTCCCCCTTAATTGTTTGGCAATGGCAAAAGACTCTACGCGATGCTACTTTTTTGCTTGTTCAGCTGAGGAGATCACTAGATAAGGTGACCATCCTAACGTCATCCGTTTTGGCAGGTCCCAGACGCTCACATTTTCTTCCCTTAGTTTTTTCCGATTACCCTGGAGAGGATTCGCACCTACTCCTCCTGACAAGAACTTGCTGAGAATTGGGGTAGGGGAGACTTGTTTACTGTTATCTCAAAATTTTATAATTTGTTCATCTCCACGGCTCCCAACCCGCCACCTAGTGAAACAAGGGGACACCGCTCAAAAGTCCATGGCTGGTGTCATAGCCACCCTGGAGGTATACTCCCATTCAGACAGCAAGAAATCCTGCCTTCTAACCAAGATTGACTGTAAACCAGTTCTACGAACCAGTCATAACCGATTGAGTGCAGGAGGCCACTACACCCGCCCACCTAGACCGAATCCAGGGCCAAAGGGGTGTGTTGGTGAGGGACGCCACACCCCAGCCACTAGGATCCCTGGTCGCATCTCACCGCCATCAGGATTCTCCTTGTTGTGGGGATTCGGAGTCAATTTCTTGCTAGACCGGAGACTTGATCGATGGATCCGAAAGAAAGGTAGCGGGACAGAAGACAAATCAAGTACGGACAAAAGATGTCACTCTCAAAGCCAGAGAGCTAGTGACATACGAGTGGTATCCCATCAGAGGGGGAATGGCAACTCTTTTTGATGGGATAGCAGACTATTTTTATTTTATTTCCCGGTCAGCTCGGGGGAAAGGAAAAAAGAAGGAAGAAAGTAGACTGAAGACAGACAATACACCAAAGTAACTGTCGCATATGCACACCTGAGTGTAGATGTTATTGGTGCCAGTTTGTTATTGAGGGTCTTTGTTGTGTGTGTGTGTGTGTGTGTGTGTGTGTGTGTGTGTGTGTGTGTGTGTGTGTGTGTGTGTTTGTGTGTATGTGTGTGCGCGTGTGCAGTGAAACATGATACAAAAGTATTGTCATTTCTTCGTTCATTATTAAAAAGACATTTTCCTCCTTCGGTGAAAAGCTATTTTTCCTGCTTGTTCAAAATTGTTTTCATAAACATTGCTCGGTATTTCGAACTCATTTTCAAATACACAAATATGTTCACGCTGGAGTTGACAGTTTCTGTTAGGAATGATGAAGACCAAACGATAAGAAAGAGATTTCGATAGGCACCATCAATATGGAAATCTTTGTCAAACAACATGTAGAAAAACAGGAGAGTAGGAGGTACGGAACCGACGATGAAGATGACAGCAATGAGGGTCACCATCTTAACAACCTTTTGATCTTTGATCCCAACTTCTTTTGCTGCACGGTCACCCTTGACAGCAGTGGCCTGCCGCCATTTTGTTTTACTATTGAGTTTGACGACAAGCACGATGGTACAGCAGATGACGAAGATGAAAGAAAGCGTCGTAGTAAATACGGCTTGAGTGAGATACGTAATGGCTTCCAGCAGTTCTCTCTCGGCCGTGTACGTGGTTTTTAATACAGTCGCATTCACGGTGAAATCGAAAACCCACTCAAGTCTGTGTCCAAGGCAGAAGGGAATAAGCAAAATGGACATGAGGATGTAAATGGAGATAATGATTATCTTTGTTCTTGCTGGTGTGATGATCATCTTCACCTTCAGAGGGGCAACGATACACAAACATCGCTCGAAGGTGATAAAGGCGGTGATAAAAGTGGAAATTTTGACACCGAGGTAACGGGGCGTGACTCCCGTGAGGTACATAATATCCCTGGGTTCAAAGGGCAAATCAGAGAGGTAGAACAGCGGGTTCCAGCAGATGCTTATCCACATCATGGCCACCAGGGAGCACAGGTCAGACACAGCGAGACCTGAAATGATAAGTAGTTTGCGTGGTGGAAAAATGAATACATAGTTTTGCCCCCCCCCCTTTCCCTTGCAGATTAGGTGACATGGCTGTTCAAACCCTCTGACATGAAAAGAGTTAAACGAAGCTAGAATGAAATTTCTTTTTTTTTCTTTAGTACATCATCATCATCATCATCATCATCATCATCATCATCATCATCATCATCATCAAGTGCCAGATCTGAGACAAACATGGGCGATGATGCTTCTCCATTCATTCTATTGTTCGAATGTTTTATAAATAGCTACATTGTCTTGATCCTTCACCGTCACCCATCTGTCTAGCGTCTTCACATAGGTTGCTCTGGGTGTGCCCCTGCCTCGTTTTCGTTTATTTTATTCCAGTGAAAGCTAAATGTTCACGACCTTTCCTAATTGTTTTTTGTCACATGGGCTTCTTCAAGCACTGTTTCATTTGATTTCTTTGCACTCCAAGTTCTCAGAGATCCCTTAAGACACCATATTTCTGTTACTTCTATTTCATTTTCACTGCCTTTAGTGATTGTCGAGCATTCATAGCCATAACATGGAATGGTTGACCATGTATAGTATTTTAAAACGTTCATTTTAGATATTTTTCTTTTTCAGGGTAGGGCTAATTTTATTGAAACATTGTACTCCAGTGGCTAAGTGAGTAGTGAGTTTTGACTCAAGCAATGTCAAGCAAGTGTCGGTGACACGGGGATCAGATGGGTGGTCACTGGAGTGTGTCCTTGAGCAAGACACGACAACCCTAGCTCAAATTTCAGGGCGCTGCACAGTGGCGACCGACAGTGGCATTGTTTGTAAACTGTTCTGTATTTGTGTAATAGTGTGTGTTTATATATGTATTTATGCATGTATGTATTTATGTATGTACGTATCTATAATCATGTATTTATGTATGTATGTTTGCCATTGTAAAACAAAGTGCCCTTCTGGGACAAATAAAAGTGTAATTTATTATTATTATTATTATTATTATTATTATTATTATTATTATTATTATTATTATTATTATTATTATTATTATTATTATTATTATTATTATTATTATTATTATTAACCATTGCAATTCTTTGTTTTATTTCTGTGGAGCATTTGGCATCATATCTAAAGGCATATCTTAGATATTTAAACTGTTGAACTCGTTTAATATTTCTGCTTTTGAGATTGTAAAGGGGATTCACGGCTTTTTATATTACCATGCATTTTGTGGGTTTTTTAAACATTCAACAATAACCTTATATCTTCACTTTCCGTTACAACAACATCTAGAAGCGATTGAATATCCTTTTCTGAGTCTGGTATTAAAGTTTTTCCTTCAGCATGTCTGATGCTATTAATATTGTGGCCAATCACTTCAAAAACTAGGCATTCTTCTATAATTCTAAGGATTGATACAATGTATATGTTAAAAAGGTCTGGTGCCATAATGCATCCTTACCTCACTCCTAATTTAATCTGCTTCTATTTTCTGTAATCCCCACTAATCGTTTTGATTCCAGTTCAAATTCCTGATGATTCTTATATCTCTTCCTTCTATGTCTAGCGCTTCCATTATTTTAAATAGCTCACCATGTTTAACCTTATCGAAAACTTTAAATAATCTTAGATCGTTTTCTTGGAGATTACAGCAAGAGCTTCCTTTTGCCCCCCCCCCCCTGGTTAGTGTTCATTTTCTCTGCTAACTTTTGTCATGGGAGCATTACACTTGCGAACCTTATTTCTCTAAACGTCACAGTTCCTAACCTATTCAATTTGGAGCAAATTTACCGCATTTCACTTGCGAACCTATAAGTGGCAGAACAAAAATTAAAGCATTGCATGTGGGTCCCTAATGATTTGTAATCGAGCTGCACTTGTATTCGTAATGCATAAGATGGTTGCTTGTCTCAACTATTTGTATGTCCATTGTGTTGTTGAGTAGCATTCCTCACAGTCGCAGTGTGACGTAAGTATGACGGGGTACAATTGTTTATTTAGCCTCAGATTTTCAGTTAGTACCGGCTCCAGTTTTAAGTATGAAAATGAGAATGTCTAAATTATTTCACTCTATATATTCACGATGTGCGTATCAATACACGAATTGTGTCTGCTATCGGTGGGCTCTGCAGTCACGAATTGTATTGTGTATACGCCTTTAGCATAAAGTATTCACTTGTGTATCTGGCTTAGGAGAGAAAGGTATTATCAGCCAGCGATTTAGATCTACCAAGGCCACGAATTTTTTAACATAGAAAAACGCAGCTTCCTATTCCGTGGTAAAAAAAAGCCAAAAGGATATGAAGTTAAGGTAAACTTTTTTTTGAAAAGTTCACACTTTTTTTTCTTTCTCTTAGTCTAAAATAATAATTTCGGGCTTAGGACAATAGAACAGTTTACCGTCAGTATGTAGATGTGCTGGGTGCTATACGAGTATTTCATCATTCTGTCTATTATAGCCACTTCACTTTTGTGCTGTGTGCTATATTTCATCATTCTATCTATTATATTCACTTCAATTATTTGGGTTATGTTCTTTTCCAAGACTGATTGATAGACACGTTAACTGTAAGTAGCTGTAGATCTGATTATTTCCGTCTCACCCATAAGGCTGATGTTCATGCTGTCTTGAAAGCCTTGCTTGGCAAACACCACGATGTTGATGATGTTGGAGACCACGCCGAATAGACTGAGGAGACCAGAGATGACCACCACGTTGACCACTTGGACAATGTACCACTGCTCGTCGCTTACGATGTCATAATGTGAAGGAGAAGGTGACGTCGTTATAGGCACGCTGTCGTCGCGAGAGTCAGTCGAATTGTTTACCACCAGGTTTGAAGACGACATTCTGGGTTGGAGAGGCGTTTGGGACATCGCTACCATTGTTACTTTTGTGCTAAGCTCCTCCCTTATTTCACTCAGAGATCTTGATTTATATTCTCAGTACAAAGGAAACCAAGACTTAAACAATGTCTAACACCATTATGTGTAACACAGTTCTTTCTTTGTTTTCCCTGTGTTCCTGCGATACGCTCGAACACTATGGCAGATAGTCTTAATATAGATGACGATTGTACCTTCAAAGATATATAAAGTTGGATACATTAATTGTTTTAATAATATCAACAAAATTATATTGAGAAAGACTGGCCATTTGTCTCTTTTTAGTGTAGTTGGATTTGTTCAGTTATACTAAACGTCAGTGCTGAAAGTCTATTATAACAAAGAGCATATTTAGTATAGCGCTAATTTCCCCTCAACAGCAAGCTCTAAGCGCTTTACAATCTAATATACTATTACCCCATTATTTTAACTATTTGAGTAAACATTCAGCACGGAATCATAAAGATTTAAATGTCGCAGCCATCGTGGTGACACTATCGACTTGTTTCGTCTGGCTGCTCCCGTGAGCGTTTAATACCATAACCGTTTTTTTCCCTAATGCAGCTTATCATGAGTAGATCATTAGAAACCTGCAGACGGGTGTACCAATTATTTTGTCAATAAGTGAGTCCACCTGCAGTCGCACTAACAAACACAGAGCATTTTTTATCATCGATTTCAGCTCACTTTATCATTATAATGACATGTCAAAAGTGAACATTTCCACTGGATCACACAGCTCCTCGTGCGCTTAATCTTTGGAAGTTTGTCTTGCTTTGTTGTACTTTTCTGTTTTCTGTTTATTTTTTACAGCACATCAACATAGTTTATTTCGATCATATGAGAGGCAGGCTTCGACTCTGCCTGTTAAGGTCTACCTTGGCTGAGAGATATACAATGTCACAGCAGAAAGACAGACGAGATACTCGATAACAAATTCACTCCACATAAGAGTCAAGCATGTGTCTTTTACGTGCGACAGCGAAGCCCCTAAACATTACTCTACAGACGCTGGTGACCTCTTTGTATGTTGTAGAAAGATAGAAACTTATTCTAAACATATCGCTCTTTACCTATGAGTCTAAACCAGGAATTAGCGAGATATAAACAACCGCGATATTATTATTATTAATTTTTGTCTTTAAAATGCGAGATGAAATGTTTAAGAAGAGAGACTAACAAGACAAGAAGAGACCAAACAAAAAAATAATTAAATCACAAGGGACACGGTAGGAGCAACACCAGTCCTACCACACATTGAAAAACAAAAGATCTGACACCTCACACGGGTACTCCCAAGTCAACCAGCTCTGAAGGCATACCACATGAATTATATTCTGGCTGGAGAACCGGGGGAAGGCCAAGGGAACGCTGAAGTGAATCTGTAGCAGACACCCTCAGAGCTCGCAGAATGTCCCTCCTACAGGCAACTCGCCTGGCTTCAGACAGACGCCTGTGTCTCCCCGCGACACCCACCGGTACAAGAGGAAAAATAAAGTAAAGTAAAGTAAGTGTTAAAACTCAAAGATTCCAGGGTCCCCCCCCCCCCCCTTGCTCGAATTGGCATGGGGCTGCTTCGTTCAACTCTTTGTCATTATTGAGTGAAGGCATCAATCATATTTATCTTCTTGTCATTTAGAAATGAATGCAGTCTCTAAATTTGTTTTTTTTTAAAAATGGTGAATAATAAAGTATACTCCCTAAAATCATGACAAAAATTAACTTTTCTGTAAACACGCCCAGAACTCACGAGCTCTGTGCTTTCTTGTACGACCTTCATTTTCTGGAGGAATCTTATTGGCTACACACTTTAGGTTGCTACCATAGATTTGTAGTATTAAATCCTAGATCGTGTACTTTGACGTAATTCCGGGTCACTATAGAACGCACCATTAGGGCAAAATGAAGGCCATTGGCCGGAGAGAAAAAAAAGGGGGGGGGGGTTGAGGAAAGAAGATGCAGCGGCATTCGTTGTAGCGAGACGGGTGTTATAATGAAGCGATATAACAACAATTGGTGTAAAAAGATAGACTATTTCATTTGAAACAAAACAGTTTTGGTCTCCATCTAGACATACTTTGTGATACTTTTACTTAAAATTACGATTCTGATTGTATGTCTGAAAAATGGACTGTACATAATAATAAATAATATTGTCATTTGAAAACCACCCAAACTGAATCAAATCTGCTCTCTCCCCTGGGCTCCTGATTCTTTCTACAGCCTTTCTACTGATACTCCTTGGCTTTTTCTTACTGCTGTCTTTCAGCCACACCCCTGATCTTCTGGTAGCAAAGATCTACACCTAGCCTTCTCGGACAAGGGCGAAAATCCTCGAAGGGCCCTGTGCAAGTTGCGCCCGTTAAAGATCCCTTGGTGGTCTAAAATCGATATCAGTAGGCTTCGGCACCACCCGGGCAAAATTCAAAATTTCCTACCAACTGAAAAAGTTTAATGTGTCCCG